GAGTCTGTCCAATAAGCCCTCAGGGCTTGTTTCCTCTGTGCTTTCTTTCCCCAAGAGGAGATATTCCTCAGATAAAGCAGTGGTAAGAACAGAGTGACATCTGTGCCTTGGTCAGAGTGAAAGAAACGGTGGCCCTTAGTTTATGAGGGAGGTCTCGTCCCAGCAAGTGGAATGGGCAGTCTGGTATCACCAGAAAAGAATGAATAACTTGTTTTGGTCCCAAGTTTACTGTTCATTCACTTGTGAGTGGGCAGTTCTGGACTGCTTCTCTGGCCCCCTGGATGGGAATAACTTGTGAAGAAAGCTTGCCCAGGGGAAGTTTTTAACATTACTGACCTCTCAGCGCCAGTGTCCACCAGGAAGCGAACCAGTTGGCCCTCTATTTCAGCATTCACCATGGGCTTCCTGGGGTCAAAGGAGCCCCAGCTACCCCTCACTCCAAGTCTTCCCTTTCCCTGGATGTGGGGAGGGACAGTACCTTGGCAGAGGGTCGATGGGGGCATTCATTTTTCCAGTGTCTTTTCTCCTTGCAGTAGACACATTGACTTCTGTCCAATGTTGGGTATCCTCCTGGTTTTTTGGCATCTGCCCTTTGGGCTTCCCAGAGTTTGGTCCCCTCTGATGGCTGCCGCCAAGATCTTTGTTGACCTTGAGGGGCCAGGGCCAAAATATTGGTTGTCCTTTAGCCCAGTTACCTTTTCATTTTGGTCTCTAAACTTTAGTTATTGAACAAACAGAAGAGAAGGTCACTATTATAATTTTGTTGGACATTAAACACTTTTGAAATATAAAGTATAGTTAGAAGACCATGGTTGTCTTAGTTGAATCCCTGTAGAATGTTAACAGATAACATTATACATTGTATAGAAAAGCTTAAGATCAAGAGCCACACATAGTATTTTAGTATAACAATCATGATGACATTATCCTTGTAACACATTTAGTGTCCATCTTAGCAAGGAGTAGCTTTTAGTCAAATACCTCTATTTGATTATAAGACAAATATCACATAGAAAAACCCTTATTCGTCATCCTTTAATAGGATGTCATCAAAAAGCCACACAGCCTATAAATGTACCTTAGAAGTTTATAGTGTTTAGCCCTTAATTTTAGCATGTGACATCGTTTGGACCACTCAGCACCTGAGCATCCCAAGTATGGTGACACATATCATACCCATTACATAAGTTTTAAGAAACACTATTATTCAATTGATTATCTCATGTTGGCTTGATATGTACATCTTACCACAAGTAGCTGGAGCACAAGAGAAAGGTGAATACCTGGATCATACAGAGGTTATCACCATAAACAAAATGTTGGAAGACCTGCACAGTCAGAAGACATGAATACATTTTGTACACCAGAAAAGTAGCAATAATAATTATTACAATTATATGAAACCTTATGTCCTATAATGTAGCTTGGTATCCAAAGCATCCTTTAAAAACGACTTGTTTTATTTCCACTGAAAATTTTGTTTTGGAAGATGACCAATATAAACACATCATAATAACATATTTAGAACTTAACCCTTTGATGATAACCAATACAAACATTTTATAATAACATATTTAAGTAATGTTTATTGGGGGTATATCATCCCATAAGGCTATGAAAATTACTGTGACTCCCATTAGTGAACAAAGACCAGAAATAACTTTTTTTAATCTGTAAAAACCAGACTGTAACAATTAACAAATTATCTGTAACCAATAAAAATATATACATTGAGTTATTGAATGTAGACAGCAGTATGTATTATAATCAAAATTAACCTTTGATGTCCTTTTGATCAGTTATCGACCTGTGAGAAAAGGAAGGTATCTCTTTAGTTACATTTATCTATATAAGACAGACAAATATATAAGACAACTTATAAAACTACAGTCCACTCAGATATATTTGACCAATTTAAATTATAATGTCCCTTTTAATTAAGACTAGTCAAAACTTTTGTAGGTCAATTAACAAAGATCTCTTGAAATTAGAATCAGAAGGAATAAAGCCGCTTTATTCCTGTAAATGCAAACCTTTTATAACAAACTTGGAACCAGCAAACATATATATTTCCTTGATAATTACTTTTTATACCTTTTCTGTGTCCGTAGGCCTTTTGGTCTTGTATATCTCCCTTTATCATCCTTTTGTTTGTTTGTTTTGGGTACCTGGGATCAAACTCAAGTCCTTTTCGAGGCAGGCAGTGGAACCACTGCGCTAAATCCCTGGCCCCTTTATCCTTTTTTTTTTTTTTGGTACCGGGGTTCCAACTGGGGTCTTTGTGCTTGCGCAGCAGGCGGCGAAACCACTGAGCTAAATCCCCCACCCCCCTTTATCCTTTTAACAAGACAAACATACAAAATCTTTTTTATCAAAAGTATATTTTTTACTTTGTAGCCTTTCAAATATTTCTTTTATCTTTTTTTTGGTGTTTTTTTTTGGTACTGGGGATTGAACTCAGGACTTTGCGCTTGCGAGGAAGGCAGTGGCATCACTGAGCTAAATCCCCGGCCCCTCTTTTATCTTATTTATTAGAAACCTTTTATAACTTGTTTTAGCTGTTAAAACTTTGAAGTGTTTCCCACTGTCACAGCATCTAGGCTCTCTACAACTGACAGTCACCAGGGACCTGGGTCGCACCACCTGCTGAGCCTGCTTCCTGCTTTTTGAGGCCTTGGAGGATGGCACAGCTTCCCCCAGACACAGGCAGCCAGCAGCAGCAGCTCTGGCCTCAGACCTCCGAGGATTCGAGGATTCGAGTCACCAGCTGAAGAGCTGCCCCCACCAGGAAGCCAATGGCCTTTTGTAACCTGTGGAAAAAGTCCCTTCCAAGGTTCCCTGGGGAGGGGACAGGTAGAGGGATAGAAGGGATGGAGAGGGCCAGAGAAGTGGCGCCTGCAGGTCCTTTTCTTCCCTGGCACCCTGGATCCCTCTCTTCCTCCCGAGCAGCACGGAAGGTGCACGGAAGGTGCGGGTGCGGGCTGCTGAGTCCCTGGAGCCTGGCTTGTATGGGCCCGAGCCGTTCACCCCCGCTAGGCTGGGACGCAGGGAGGAGGGGCAGCTGTTCCCCATCCTTCCTGTGGGCCTGCGTTGCACTTAAAACTGGTGATGCAGCATGGTGGCTTTGGCTCCACTGGGGCCCTCGAGGCTTGCCAGCTGTAGTGGCAAGCCAGGAGAGCCTCAGCTGCGAGGTCGAGAGGGGAGAGGGGATGGTATGGGGAAGAAAGGGATTTTTTGGAGCCAAAATCCAGATGGGCCCAGAGGGCCAAGGAGGGGGGAAATGCCAATTAGAGGAATGATGACAATAACCTGGGAGGAAAACAGCAGGGCCCGGATGAAACCATGTATGGCTGGAAGACAGGCAAAAGAAGGGGCACAGAAAGGCCATTCAGAGGGAGGATAAGAGAGATGTGAGATTAGAGCTGTATTCCCAGCCTGAGGAAGTCAGCAGAGATCTTTAGAAAGAAGAGGTGATGTCACTGATGGGCAGCTGGTGGGAAAGCAGTCGGGGAGTCCCAGAGGCAAGAGATCAGCAGCAATTAAGAGAAAGAAGACAGGTCCGAGAGTTCAGGGACAATGCGGGCATCTGGACAGAGAGAATCCCCTAGTGTTTATGTGGTGCACCCTGGAATGGTGCTGTGACAAAGGGGAAGGGGTCCTCTGTGGGAGGAACCACTGTCAACTGGCTGCAGGCCTCTCACTTTAAGGACTGTCCAGGCTTTAGTGTGTATTTCTCATCACAAGAGGACCCACTTAGCCTTTCTTAGACATGTCCACGGAATCACGATACGACTTCATTCAGACCCTGTAACTTTTGAGTGGGGGGGGAAGAATTTCCATTCTTTGTTGTGGGGCATGGACAGAAGTCTATAGTTTACCCTGTCCATTACCATTCGTTCATTCATTCATACAGCAATCATTCAGAGGCTAAAGACATTCCAAACCCATCCCCTGTGGGGGGGATTTCCCAGATTGGCTGACTTGCAGCCAGACCAGACCAGAGGGTCACCCCACTCAGCGTCCTGACCATAAGAGTGGGCTGGGGAATGCCTTTGTTGAGGACTATTTTTCCCCACCAGAACCAGAAGGATCCTTACCTTCAGACCAGACCAGATGGACTCCGGAAAATTTAGAGGGTGTCTCAGGCATCTCTGCGGTTCTCCGTGTTGGCAGTCAGACTACAGAGCCCTGGAAAATGCAGGGGCTGCCTCCCCTATAGTTTGCTGCCTCCCCTATAGTTTGCTGCCACGGATGGTAAGGGCCACAGTGAGGTTGGTCCACCCATTGTAGCCTCCAATATGTTATAGGGCCAGGTGAGTTGGAACTATAATGATGCACCACACGGAATTAAATTGCGTCCTTCATCATCATAGCCGGCTTTCCAGAGTGGCTCTCACCAGAAAAAAACTGGACAAAGGCAAGGCAGTTTGCAAGGTCCTTTTAAGGGCTCTTCTATTTGGGGAGGGCTCAAGGAGAGGGGTGGCACAAGCAGAATTTCAGAGGAGCAGAACTTTGCTAAGTTAGTAGGGGTCAGGGGAAGTTTCACACAGCTTAATTAAAACATCACACAGGTGCGTAGTCTTCTGTTTACAAGGCAGTAAAGATAACATAGTTGCAAACTCACATGGGATGCAGTTGTCTTGTCATGCATTAACTGAGGGGACTCCCAAGGGGGAAAGGGAAGGTGACCACCCGGAATTACTTGACTTTACGCAAATGGAGTCAGGTTGGCTATCACAACGTAAGGTTAAATGCATATTCTTAATATAAGTCATTATTATGTGCAGTTATTCTGAGGCTATAGCTGCTCATAATCCAAATTACAAGAGTATTAACCCTTAATGTGCAACTTCAGAAAAAATGATGATGTAAAAAATAGCTGTAAATGACTCAATACAGTTTTCAGTTTCTTCAGGGCATTCACAATTTGTCCTTTTTGTTCTGGTGAAATTGTTAATAGCATTCCATCATTCTCAAGTATACAAATTTACACAATATGCTGTCTCAATAGCATGTTTTTGTATTTGTATTTTATCTTTAGGGAAAACATTAAGCCATGGAAAGACCTCTACTAAATAAGATGATTGGATCTTTAAATACAGTGACTGGTTTTACAAAAAGTGGTGCTGTCTGTGCCTACAAAAAATCAATAGCTATCTGTCATTTTTGTTCTAATACCTTACTGTAATTTTGTATCTACTGAGCTGCTATTGGGATGGATGCTCAGGAATTAGACAGACTCTCATTTATAGAAATAATGACAGTTCTCATGAACACATAGTAGGGAGCTATATCTGAAAGCAAGGCTGGCCCTACACTAAATACATATCTAAAATATCTATAGTCCAAATTAGTTTGAGTTCTAATTTCTTTTAGTCCTCTATTAAACTGGATTGGTACCACAGTCTATTAATGATAATGCAGGATCAAAAAGGAGTTGGCATTTAGCAGCAAAGCTTCCTTAGGGGGTAGTCAAAAAGGGATGAGAGGAACCTTATACTTAAAAAGTGGCTGTGCTTAGGGCATCTATAGCCCTTCTTAGCCTCTTATGCAACATCTGTCATTTGTACCTTCATGTTTCTCAGTAAAGAGTTGTACCTTAGAAGTTTCAGAAGCTTGAAATCATAGCTAGTGCTAGTTATTGGTCTAGCATTTTTAGTTTTTAACTTTTATTTATTTTTATTTTTTTCGGTACTGGAGATAGGACTCAGGATCTTGTATTTTCGAGGCAGGCAGGGTGCCACTGAGCTAAATCCTGGCCCTTTCTAGTACTCTTTCCAATGACATATCTGTTTGGCTTTTTGATAGTGTGGCTTTTTCCTAAACATCATGCTGATTAGATGAAGCTTTGGGATAAGGCAAACATACACCCTTATTCCTGAAAACATCTGTGCACTTTCAGCGCCTTTTAGCACAGATGAGGTAAGGCTGGGGCTGCAATGTCATACCTAACCTGGGCTTCAGATTTGGAACTAGTTCATGTGGGAAATGCAAATGAAACTGCTGAAGCAATGCGGTAAAAAACAAGAACATTTCCATCCGAGCCAGATGTTCTCCAAGACAATGTCTTCTCCCTAAACAGAAAAAGCAGATATAGTAAGTTTCAGAAACCCATATTTACCAGTTTAAGTCTAATATTTGGATGACACTTGGGAAATCTGGAATTTAAACTTGTTAGAGAAAGGTGGATTAGCTGAAGTATTCTCTTAAATCCCAAATGATAGAAATTAGCACTTCAGCTTCCAGAACAACTGTTTTGCTTCGTTTTGTCAGAGCATAAACTTTTCTAAGACTTTAGTCCCAACTCCCACTTCCCTTGAATACTGCAACTGAGCCTACTCAGTGATGGCCAACCTTTTAGAGCTTTCAATGATCCAAACAGCCTGCTGCGGCTGTGCCATGGGTTCACCACCGCTGCCCTAAGACATACTCTGGCAGGTCTAATTTGAGGTGTGACATTTTGTTGTATTGTCACGAGAAGCCCATTTCATTTCAACTGACTGTGTATTTTTTCAATGATTAGTAAGAGTTTCTGGTTCATCTGTCATGGGTCTGTGATCTGTGTTCTATTTCATACCAGAAGCAGTATTTCCTAGTTGGAGATGACACAATAAATTGGAAGGCAAGAGGGCTAGATTCTAGTTTTACTTCAGGTTGTTTTATCTTTCCTCTTTCTAGGTCTCAGCTTCACAAGTCATCTGATACTGACTTCTAGCTGCACAAGTTTGATTAAAGCCAAAAATCTACTAGCAAGAGTTTCAGAGGAAGCCAGAACTTTTCAACAGTTTAACTCTAGTTAAAATTGAGATTTATTTTGAGTAGAATCAAGTGTTACTTAGCTCTAGTCAAATGATTCTCTTCTACAAGAATCAGTATGTTTTCAGAGTTGGAATATTTAATTTTAGAGGAGGAAGCTTCAGATTAAAATGTTATACATGACAACTTATTGTTATACTTTAAAGTTATAGTCCTGTGAAAGTTCTCTTACCTAAGGAAAAAGGAACAAAAGCTTCCTTTTTGACAAAATAGCCACTGCTATCCAGAAATCGCTCAGGACAGAACACTTCTGGGTCTTTCCAGTACTTTTCTTCAAAGTGCACAGAATAAAGATTTGTAATTACTGTTGTGCCTTTTGGAATAGAATAACCACGTACAGCTGCATCTTTAGAGGTTGCATGGAAAATTCCTAATGGAACTATATTACAGAATCTTAAAACTTCATGCAAAACTGCTTCAGTATATGGCATTTTGTATTTGTCATCCCAAGAAGGCTGTCTATTGGGGCCAATAATTAAATCAATCTCTTTCCAAACTTGTCCTGTCAGAGAAAAAGCATTTAAGTTATTATATAATTCTTAGAAAAATATCTACAATAATTACTCTTTGGGCTAAAACAGAGGATAACATGTAATAAGCCAACAGGATATGGGTGTACCCAGATTTAGATTTTTCATTATCTGGAAGTTTTATTTAAATATATGCTATATATCTTATATTAGCAGTATCTAACACCCTGGGTAACTTGGTCATGAAAAACACATTAAAAAGATTAAGAACAAAGATTAATATGTTTCTGCTGGCTTGAACCACCAGTGGTATACCAGGTGGCTTGTACCACTGGTGGTATAGATGAATCTAATCACTGTTATTGGTCTTTACTAATAATATTAATAAAAAGCCACCAAATGGGAAAATCATGTATGTACCACTGGTAGTTCAAGCTACCCAACAGTGACAAGTATAAATTATGGTCCTTTTGTAAACATGTTAAACTCAGAATTGAAGTGATATTACTCTCAGCTGAGAAAATAGTGAAGCACTGAATGAGAAAAACCAGAATCCAGTTCCCAGCTCTGTCACTTTCACTTAGCCTTTGTACTCATTTATAAATCAGGAGTAATAAAATCTATTTCAGAGATTTTTTTTTTAGCATGTAGTGAGATACTAAATTTGAAAACTCTCTGAAAGTATGAAATATTTCTCTTCTTGGCTAGCACAGCAGGAGTTCTTTAAAGATGCTTTATACATGGCTAAAGACTCCAAAACATGTATGAGCCCTATATTTAAGGGTAGGCCATGAGACCTAGAGATCAAGAGCATCCTCACCTTGAATGCTAGGATAAAGGGCCATGAAAAGAATTGCCCAGCGTAGCACATTGGTTGTAGTTTCTGTTCCAGCAATGATGAGTTCACCCACGGAGAAAATTAGGTTTTCTTTGGAGAAAGTAGATGATGGGTCATTTTTACCTTGATCCATCTCATCTAAATAAGCATCAACAAAATGCTGAGGTAACTGAGGCTTTCTGTTGACTGAAGCATTTTTAATTAGTCTGGAGAGAAAATCGTAGACCACAGCTGCATTTCTAAACAGCTGCTGATGTTTTCCAAAAGGCAAGATACCAATCCATGGAAAGGCATTATACAGGAAGACTGAGGCACTGGTAGCTAGTTCCACATTTTCGCTAAATAACTCAATCATTTGCTGAAAATTAGTGTCTTCATAAGCAAATCTTTCTCCAAAAATGATCAGATTGGTTATATTTGAAACAGCATTAGTTATTAAGTGTTTCAAGTCAAAAGGTCTACCTTTGTATGTTTCAATAGCATCAATGAAAAATTTGGTTTCTTCTAAGATCTTAGATTCAAAAGATTTTTGGCCGTATCCAAAATATCGAAAGCTGTTTACAGCCAATCTTCTGTGATCAATCCATCCTCGGCCATACCTGGAATTGAGTAAGCCTAGAAAAAAGTATTAAGAAGCTGAAAATGCTATAGTGTAAAAAAAAAAAAATCTTTCTAAATGGACAATAATTTTTCCCAAAATTATCTTTCTATATAACTATTTGATTGGTTCCTATTCTCTGCAACTCAGTAGTCATGCAACAATGTAACTGATAAAGCTTATATATTCCTCATCTAGGACTCATAAAAGATATAGTTCTCCCACCACAAGGAACTAGCCAGTCTTATGTAATTCAAGGTGGAGGAACTAGGCCCAGGTAACTTTTTGTTTTTGGAACCGGGGATCGAACTCGGGTCCTTGTACTTGTGCAGCAGGCAGCGAAACCACTGAGCTAAATCCCTGGCCCAGGCCCAGGTAACTTTATTATTTAACTTTTACTGTAAGTCTAATTTATAAAAGACAAATGATTACATGTTCTATAGGCAAAATTTTATCTTGAATTAAACAAATACCTGAAAAATCATTTTTCTAGGTTTAGAAGTTTTCTTCATAAAGGAGACTGTATTGTAGAACAGAAATTAGCTTCTGTTAAAGGCATATGATACCCAACAAGGTAGTGATGGCAGAAGCAGGGGTAGCCTGAATGAGTTGTCAATGTAGTAGAATGCATAGATCGAAACCAAACAAACAAAAAACCAGAGAAACATGAAATTCAAATTTTTTAAAATGTTGGTATTGCTTGCTGCAAAATTCCACAATCTTCATAGTGTATCTGTTGTTCTGATGTGGCTACTATGGAAAATTTCTCCTTTAAACTATCAAGGAAGTAACCCAGTATCCTCTGTGCATGTATTTATATAACATGTACTTTATGTGGAATTTCATTTGTCACAAGGACTTAGGTATATTTATGATGCAAATTTGTGTTCTGTTGTATATGCGATGTACATATAAAATTTACATTCCAAAAACATTTGTGCAATAATTCTTAAATTTGGAGCTTATTAAAAAGTTGGCCACAGGTAAGTAGGTCTTTACTGCTGCATTTTATATTCTCATAGTCCGTTTTTGTTTTCCACAGCCCCAGATAACTATTCATTCAACAAACATTTATTCAGCATGTTTTTATGGAACTCCTACTATATTCCAGGAAGTGTTTTAAAATGTCAGATTTATCAGTGAACAAAAGAAGCAGATCCCTAGTTTCATGCAATGGCCAGCAGGAGAGACAGACAAACAACACATAAATTATATAACAAGCAAAGATATACAAGGTAGCCGGGAAAAGGCTCATGTATAAAGTGACGATTGAGTAAAGACTTAAATGAGATGAGGAAGTCAAGTAAATATCCAGATTAAGATCACTGCAGGTAGAGGGAACAGCTGGCACAAAGGCAGCAAGATCAGAGCAGCCCTGGAGGAATGTGTGGGATACATATTCAAGGTACACAGGAACACTGTTCACAATAACCCCATACTGACCACACTATGTGCCTGAGTATGGGGTTAAGTCTACCCAAAGGGCAACTTTTTCCTATTCACACAATGGCTAACGACAGGCATGATTTTTTAGGTCATCAATGCACAGACATTAAAAACAACATAAATAATTTTCTACTTATTTTCCTTTCACTGTTTTTGGAAATACTAAGTTCAATTTTAATTTTATCATTGTTAAAATATTCTAAACTATAAACTTATAGCTTTGAAAAATATATACTTTGTCTCAAATGTTACTCTGATCACATCATCTTTCATTTCTATCATTTCTTTAAAGGTTCTGTTACAGCTCGTATCTAGATGCCCCTCCAAAGCCTCATGCACTCATAACTAGGGCTTTTCAGGGCTAGCTGGATCTAGGCCATGTGATACTGGGATTAAAGGTTTATGGTACTAAATTAGTCCACTGATTGGAATTAGGATAGTTTTGGGTGTGGATAATGGGAAAGCCCACCCTGGATGTAGGTGACACCACCCAAAAGGCTGGTAATCTAATAGGGTAAAAGGGAAAGGGAGGCTGCTTCTACTGCTGCTCACTGCTTTTTGCCTGTCTTGCTGTGGACTGTTTCTTCTCTGTTCCTGTGTCATGCCACCCTGCCTCGGAACCAGCCAATGATGGACTGAAACCTCTGCAAACCATGAGCTGAAATAAACTTTACCTCTTTCAACTTCTGGTGTTGGGTATTTTGTCTCAGCAACAAGAAAAATAACTAAGACAGTTTTCTATTATAATTTTCTTCTTCTTTGGCCTAATTGTTGTTCCTTATAAGATTTAAGAAGCTGGAGATTTGCTTTTTATTTACTTTTTTGCTTTCAAGTATCACATTTTGGCCAGAGAATTTGGTCTTTAAAATTTCTACTTTCTTTGCATTTTTTATTTGTTTTGTGATTTAATAGAGGATTATTTTTCCTTTTCAACCAATACCATTTAGTTTTTCAAAGCAAGATATTGTTACGTTTTTCTTTCAATGTTAAATGTGAAGTTCTCATTAGAGAAAAATTGAAAATATTCTTATATGATTAAAATCATTGTATTTGATTTCCACATTCTTTGATTACCACAGGCTTTCATTTGTTTCTTTCTTACCAATTTTGTTAACTTTCAGCATTTCTCCTGTTGTATATCACTGAATCATACAGAATGCTAGTCTTTTACATAACTCTGCCCCCACAACTTTCCATTCACATAGCATGAGTGGTTGAGAAAGGCTGCTTCAGGTTCTATAAGCTTAGAAGCAAAACTACTAAAAATGTCACCGTGTATTCAAGATTGGCATTAAAAGGACACTTCTGTGTGTATGTGTGTGTACTCCTGACTTGTTTCATAAAACATGCAGCTACTAAGTGTTAATTCTTTACAAACATAATTTATAATATTTATTAGAACTGAATTACAAAAAAATTAGCATGTAATGGTCTAAAATATTAGAGTAATTCATCTGAAGAGGTCCTTAAATACTGTTCCACAAGTAAGTAGGTACTATATATCAATTCTTTCCTTTTAATCAGTATAAAAATCCCAACTGTATGTACTAAAATTACTTAAAGGATGCAATTTAAAATAATTTAGTGAACAAGTAGTTGAGAACAAACATACCTCCCATTTTTGTCATCTTCATGAATAACGGAAGGCATGGTCTGTCTGCAAAAATTTCACTTTGATGAACAAGGCATTCCTTTACTGTGTCATAGCCATTTAGAACCACTGCTGATATGCCTCCAAGATCCAAACTGAAAATCTTTGAGAAGAAAAACACTTAAACGGCAAAATGTAGAAAGACATATGATCATGGAATTCCACATGTGCTAAGCCTAGCTCTTCCAGTACTTATTTTCTTGAAAATACAAACATTTATTACTTAACTGACAATGTTTAGACAGTGTGATTCATTATACCATTTGGTGCCTGAAGCCATAATCTTGTAAGTGGTACAATGCGCAAGTACTATATTCAGGAGGCCTGGCTTCTAGTTTGTGATTTGCCACTAAACAGACAGAAGACCCTGGGCAGAATAATTAACTTTTTTGGGCTTCAATGTTGCCACAAAATATATTTGATTTAGATGCTCTTTTAGGATACATTTTACCTCAAGACAATATGCAGGAATCTCCTTTCATTTCCAAGATGAAGAAGTAGCACAGTCTACCCAGCCTTGGTGGGGGAAGGGAATTGTCAAAGGCCTGTGAGACAACCATGAAGCATACATTCTGTAAATGGGATCATTTTATTTGGCTTCCTGAATTCCATAGTTAACCTAGAGAACCCTAAGGGAATGTGATCATGGAAGACAGACATCTGCCAGTTAGGCATTCACCACTTAGGCATAGGTGACTGACTGCCTTTCAACTAAGGGGAAGGCAAAATAGAAAGTGCATCCTATTTGTTTCATTTTTCTAACTGGTCTAATATAAAAGCCTAGTCCAATAAAAAAAAATGTTGCCATATCAGTGGGATGGAAAGATTACTTATTATCCTTATCCTTTTGAAGTTCAAGGGTTTTTTTTTTCTGTGAGTACACATCTCACAGATAGACAGTTGAAAAATAAGATTCTACTTCCAAATAAGTCCTATAAACTACTTTCCACAATCTTCCTCAATACAGGAGATATCAGTTTCCTTCCATCTGCAAAATGGTATGTAGTATTTTAACAGCATACTAATTTTGAGTTTGTCAGAACTGGTATTTAAGTTAATAGGAGATCTTTAGGGGTGTTCACAAGAAGGATAAAGATTAAATACGGCTGTAGCTTCAGCATATCAATTTAAATGTAAGAGAGTGTGGCAAGCAATTTGTACCCTTCAATGCATACATTCTTCACATTTTTGCTCTTGTTTTTCCTTTGCCCCCTCTGTAGTGATTAGCACAGGTTAGCCCTATTTGATTTGTTGTGAAGAGTCTTCTTTGTAAAGGTCTACGGTCCCCCAAATACTGGTACCGGGAATAAGAACAGTTATTCATGTCAAATTATTTTCTATCTCCCCACCTTCTCGTCCTTCTTCTTCAAGAGACAGGATCTCACTATATAGTCCAGGCTGGCCTTGAACTCACTATATAGCCCAAGCTGGCCTCAACTTGTGATGATCCTCCTGCATCAGCCTCCCAAGTGCTGGGATTACAGGCCAAGCTCAGCTTTATGTCAAATTTTAATCCACTGAATTAGATCTACCTAACCCAAGACAACAGTCTTTAGCACATTTATAATGTGTAACCTATTACGACAGACCGAAAGGAATAGTCAAATTAATATAAAGTTCTTTTCAGTTCAGATATTCATATATGAAAATCTTAATTTCCTATTCTGTAAGAAATCATTTCAAAAAACTAGTTTAAAAATACTTTTAAATTTGTAGGCCCAATATATTCTGTACATAGTAATCAAGACCACATACAATAACCCATAACATTTGAAGAGAAATTTATTGTTTTCACATTATTCTAATTAGCCAGGTAACAAAAATTAGATTTCAAAGGAGAAATGGTCAACTTTTACCTGGCAGAAAAGGAGTCAACCTTAAATCTTATGCTTTCATGTTATAATTTCTCCAGAATATTATACTTTGCAAAAACAGAAAACAACATACCAAAGGGGCCAAACCTATTAAATGGAAATTATGGAAATAAACTCAATTCTTAAGAGAATTGGAAGCTGGAAAATAGAAGATAAGAATTATATGTACAGTATTTTCTCTACCTAATTCAACTTCCCTTTTGGGAAATAAATCATTGAGCTACAGAAACCTAGAATAATTTTTGTAAAAACTGGTTTAAGCACCAATCTGCAATACAATTGGGTAAAGATTAATATAATTAAAGATTTAAGCACCAACCTGAAATGCAATTACCAAATAACCCTGTGATTTTTTTTTCTTCAAAGCACTTAACTCATTTATGGTGAATAATCTGACTAATTTTCTCTCTTCTACTAGAATGTAACTCCTTAAAACAAGGCTATGTTTGCCTTCTTCATCTTTTTAGCCCCGTATCAGTCAAGATCCTGGTCTGTGAATGCATATAAATGAACATCATTAAAAATAACACAGGTCAGCCTTGGAAAAGAACAGTAGTCTGGAAACTTCTGCCTCCTGCTGAAAGAAGTAAAGACACCCTTCTAGACATAGGATGTGTTCTCTCCTTTCTTCCTGCCAGTCGCTCAGCATTTCTGCCCAGTTTTCCTCTGGAAAAGTAGAAATATCTACTTCATTGGATAGTTGTTTTAACTGAGAACACGCTGACAGCGAGATCAGCTCACAGTCGGCGCCTTATGCTACGAGGATGTCCCTGGCCAGTGCGATTAGTAAAGCTCATTCTGTGCTGTAGGATTCCTGCGACGGTTCTCAAGAATTAACTCATTTTTACACTTCCAAAAATCATTTACCAGAGCCCATTTCTTGGCCAGGGTCGTTCACCTGCGTTCTAACGCCCAGACCAGTCGTTGGTCAGCTGTAAACATCGAAGGGCCTCCCCAGTGACCACTGTCACATAACTCACAGTGCCTGGACTTTCGCACAGCCCAGGATTGCCCTCTCACTTTCAGGGCTGAGCCATTACGGCTCTGGGGGTTCAACTACCAGGCGCGCGTCCAGGGAGGACGCAGAGGCGCACCCGGCGGGTCACAGGGCGCAGGCGCAGGCACCTCCCACGGAGGTGGGAAGGTGGAGCCAGGCAGCCTCAGCGCGCCTGCCAAGATGGGTGCGGGGCTCCGCGATTGGGCGTCGCACCGAGGAACTCTCCCTTTTCTGCCCGCCAGGCAGGTTTTCCTCAAAGGACGGCCGGCACACGGGAGAGGCGCCAGCCGCACGTTCACCACCGGGGAGGAAGGCCCGCGCCGGCCCCAGCACCAGCACCGGACGGCGGCCCACCCTGCCCGCCGGGCCGGTACCTCGCCGTACACCTGGCTCTGCCTTCTCATGTAGACATGCGGAAGCTCCGCGGAGGCGGCCAGGGAGAAGATGTTGCCGATAAATGGCAGCCCCGGCGGCCCCGGCGGGAAGCCCACTGGCCGCCTCTGCTTCAGCATCTGGCGGACGGCCAGCGCGAAAAGCAGCAGGAAGAGCGCGCCGCCGAGCGCCTCAGCGCAGGCCTCGGCTCCCGGAACCTGCCACATTCCCCAAACTAGGGCGGAATTCTGCCGCGGCGCCCGGGCGCGGTGCTCCCGCCTCTCCCTGCACTCCCTTCACTCCCATTGGGCAGATGCCTCGAGGTCCCGCCCCAGCTCTGTGGCTATTGGCTCTCTGAATGTAGGGCGCTGGGGCCTGGTGGCCCGCTACCTACTGGCATTGCCCAACACCCCCCTCAGCGGCGGGCACCGATCCTCGAAAGCCCTTTACCGGGTGTAGACACCAGGTCTTTGAAGACGATCTGGGCAGCTCCATTTTTCGGGCTGAACGGATCCTGCCTTCCTGGGAGCCACTGGGATCTTAAAGTGTCTTTTTAGGTACCAGGTCCATTTATGTCATACTAGGAAGAGGAGTCAAGCGGCAGTCTTTAGCTGAACTCGGCAGTTTCCACTTTCCATTAGTTTAGCGAGGTGACCCATCGATATAAAAAGAATATAAACTTAATATTTTTTCCTTGTTTATTCATAACTTTTCTCCTGTTAGAAGGGGGTTTTGGTGGGATCCTTAATTCTAAGGATTAAGCACTATCCATATGAGTAACTCGGATTGCCTATGTTTTCACCCCTCTCGGGGCCTCCCAAACTCGTTACTTACTGGTAATCACAGAGGCCTCTCTTATCTGCAGTTGCTCGGGAATGGTACTTACTGCCCTGGAAGTTGGCGTTTAGAGGCTGGTGATGCAGGCATGTAGCGAAGACGAGTTTATTTAGATCGGGGTACCCTGGGAGACTGGATGAGTTTCCAAGAGAGGAATCGCGCAGTCAAGGTGAGAGATTGGAGTTTTTATACGAGTTTAAGGATATGGAGAAAGGGTCTAGGCAGCAACTGTGAATAAAAAATGTCTTTTCTGGATCATTTAGCACCTTGGAGGTCTCAGAGCACCTGTATTGTGTTCAATATTATGTTTACAGTTGCAGTTTTGACAAGACCATTTTCCTCTGGCCAAAGAAGTCTGTGCATATCTTTTTTAGAGAAGATAGGTCAGGCGTCTTTGGGAGGGATAAATGGGCTTTACTTCGTAAGGTTAGGTGCTATCATCACCTGCTGAGAGTGGGATGTCTTTAATTGGTATTCTTTTGTTAAGCGTTTTAATGTTTCTGTTCCCAATGGGCAGCTACTACACTTCTCAAGCTTTCTGTCTGCACTACCTAGAATTAAACAACTGATTTCATGTTGTTATTTCAGTTTCTATTCCTGATTTTATTGGGCGATTCCTTGCAACACAGGACCTACTAGACTTGGGACCCTTCTAAAAGGTGTATTGCAATCATGATTTAGCATTGTTAAAAGTTTTCTGGTCCTCATTAGCTTAAGTCTCATTCATACAAATATTTATTGAATGCACACCTTATGATTGATGTCCTAAGCAATGGAGATACAAAGGTGACAACAATGATGGATATACAAAGGTCACAACAACAAAGTTCTTATGGCATGTTTCATAGGATTTCTGCCCGAAGATAGCCACCTACTGGATATTCTATCACAAAAGGTTATTATATTATCCTTAAATACTCCTTAAAATTCTTATTAATCAAGAATCTTCTAGTAGAATAGAAAAATAATTGTCAGAGATTACTGCTGAAGTTAGTCTGTGATGTCACAGGATGGATTGCAGTCATTCTGAGGCACCAGGAATGGGGACTATCACCTAGCAGGTAGCTAAGGTTAGCCCTGCCCTCACCAACATGCCCTGTCTTGCAGTCTGGCCAAAGTACAGGCACTGGGTCCAGAAGTGGCCTTCTTTCCTTTATCTTCATAAAGGATTGATTTCAGTTTCAAAAATATCCTCCAGTTGGCCCAAGTTAAGGAGCATTCCTTCTTTGGCATTCCCTCCTTGTTACCGTAGCAGAGAGCTCAGAGCTTACCCTGATGCCACTGAGAGCACTGATGAGATTCCACCCCCATGATAAAGGGGGGATTTTCTCAGGAATACTCCAAACTCTTTCAGAACACAGAGCCTTCCCTGTAACCATTTATTATGTTCTCTCAGTGCTCAGCAAAGAGAATGGCTCACTGTGTTCCCCCTCTCCAGCATTTTATTCCTCTTCCCAGCATTTTGGTAAATACCATGTCCAGGGTTCTACCATTTCACTGTGCAGAACGGTAATGGTTACAACAAAGAATAGCATAACTTATACTCCAATGAGAGCCCCTTTTTTTGCCTTTGGAAATTGCTATGGTTTGAGTATGGTTTATCCCCACCAAAACTCATGTTGAGACTTGGTTCCCCTTGTAGCAGAGTTAAAAATTATTAGGACCTTTAAGAAGTGATTAGATCATGGGAGCTCTACTCTTATGAAAGGATTAATGTAGCTACCTTGAGGGTAGATTAGTTATTCTGAGAGAAGGTTAATAAAATTAAGTTGGTTTTCTGTTGTTTCCTCCCTTGCCATGTGATCTCTTCTTCAAGTACATGTTTCCTTTCTGATTTTCTTCCACAGAGCAGCACATGGCCTTAGCTAAAAGCCAAGAAGATGCTGGTGCCATGTTCTTGACCCCTAGAATTGTGAGCTACATAAACGTCTTCTTTGTAAATTTCTCAGTCTGACACAGCAACAGAAAATAGACTACATGAGGAACTGTCCCTCCAGACTCCAGAGGCAGTGTCAGGTGAGAGTGTCTCATGGGCTTTCTACAATTTTTGGATGCTGTGGTCCGGGGTGCTTGTCCGCAGTACTCTTCCCTGCACAGAGTGAAGCATCCGACATGAATTTGCCTCCTTTGCATATTCCATTTTACATACTCAGAGTGTGTTTCATCAGGACAAAAAGAAGTGAGAATCAGAGAAAGTGTCCCTCTGAGCCCTGTGAGACCCAAGCCAAAAGAAAAAAGTAGTACTGTCCTTTGTTCTCTTAAAATTTGATCCCAAAGTGAATTCCTTACCTCATCCTAGTCTTAGGAGGCAGGGTATCCAAATGATGATTTTTATTGCAAAGTGGTGTGTAGGAACTGGGTTTGTACACTTCCTGTACACTTAGCCCACTGAGGTGAGGCTGGTAGACCAGTGGTGCCACTGGGTGGGATTTGTTATGAAATGTCTTCCTTTAACCACCAAGCATCACCATCCATACCCCATTCCCTGAAGTTCAGCCTATACAAATTAATTTATATGAGAACAACATTTTCGAAGACAGGATGAGCTGTAAAATGCAACTGGTGGTAGAAGAATAATATAGTGATAGGGAGTGATAGTGTAACAGCAGACTTACAGTCCCCAGTGTGGCCGCTCTTAGTGGTGTAGCAAGATCAGGCTAAGAAGAATCGAGAACGCACCTGGAGATTGGAAGCAAGTGTACAGCTTTATTACGCCGACGGACTGATTGGGGATTTCTCTACAAAGCCATCAGCCTGGAGCTGGCAGTGAACAGGGTTTATATGGGTTAGGGGAAGGGGGTGGGGATACAGAAGCAAGGCGCGTTTATCATCAGTTCATGGGTTGAGGAAGTTACATTTAGTTTACATGATTTGATAGAAAGGTACACTGGATACAGACACTTCCTGAGTACAAAAGGCAGTGAAGGAAGATGTGGTAGGTGTGGGAGGGGTATGAGCTGGGGGTGGCTCTTTGTCAGGTCAGCTAGCTGCAGGAAAACCTTTTTTGTTCAGAAATTGTTTTCCGGCTCAATAGGAAGTTCCTGAAAAAGAGAAAGAAAAAAATATGTATAAAAAAAGAAAAACATATATATGAAAAAATATATATATATAAAATATATATAAAATATTTGTTCCAACATTTGGGAGTCAAGATAGAAGGGGACACATCATGGCCTTTGTTGGAAGTGGTTGCATGGAGATGGTGGTGGTGGTGGTGGTAGTTGTGGGAATTTTAAAAAAGATGTAAAAAGGGAAGAAAGAATTTCAGTGAGGAACTTTTTCCTTTCATAATTTTCCCAAAAGCTACATCAACTTAGAGAAATCATCTTTCTCAGAACCAGGAACTGTTCCTGCTGTCCTGGAGATAGTCAACCAACCCGCTGGTACTTCCTCCCATCCAGTTTCCCACTGGGCCACTTCCTATTCTGGGCAGCTTGTATTCCTTTCCTTGTATTTAAATAGAATAGAAATTAAAAAATTGATGAACATTTATTTATTTTTATTTTTTCCATTAAGATAATTGGTACATTTCAGGTGTAAAATACAGTTACATTCATCATTGGTATCTTGTACCTTTAGATGATGTATCTTGGTTCTTATTTTTTATCCCCCCTTCCCCTGCCCTCCCTTCACCCCCTCCACCCTTCCCTATTTCTAAAGACTTTGTTTCCATGTTTTTCCTTTTCTCATATTTTTTCTTTTCCCTTCTTTCCTTTCCCCTACCCCAACTCCTTTAGACCTTTTCTTCCTATTACACCATATCAATTATACATTTTAAAATTACAATATCAAGATCTAGAAGACATTACCAAAAATTTTACAGAATTTAAAAGGATATAGAAAGTATATTCTAAAAATCTTTTTTGGAATAAATTTGACAACTTCTATGA